TTGTGCAGCACGTGTTGTACTATACAAGACATAATAGATTTTCCTAACAATCAACATATACCAAACCGAACCGAAAACCGTGAACCGAACCGAACCGTGGATTTTGTGAACCGTTCAACCCCTAATGACTAGGCTGTCTGATTTTTTTCTATCATTCAACGCAGCTACACCTCACACTGACAACCGCAGGAAACCTCTGGGTTTCACAGTTCACGATGTTTGTTCTCACACTGTGCGGCCCGAAGCTCTGATGCGATCTACCTGCTCACACTGTACGTCTAAAATCCATGTGGGACTCAGCTCCGCAGTTAGATGGCGCTACTCGGACTCGTCTATCCAGAAGCCAAACCAGTAGAAGAGGAATATAAAGCTCACTAGAGTGAAACGCGCTGCCTTGGCAGTGTGTGCAATTTTGTGCTAAAAGCCCTAAAAAGAAAAGGTGACGACGCATTTGGACAAAGACATGGCTGAGCAAACGTGGCTACTACGGTCTGTCAATTTTACAGAAAGAACTCAATTTCACTCATCGCACCCCTGCCATGCTTCTGTGTTTTCATCTAAGAAGAAGAAGAAGAATCCTTGTTTGTGTACTAAGAGATTTGCCCACGACCATCTTATGACCGCTGACTGAAATTCAAACATGTTTGATTTTCTCCGGACCTCATGATTCCTGATTGGGAGGCGTTTGTGGTGATCCACAAACGAGGGGTGATCCCCCTCGTTATCCCCTGTACACGACACAACACACGATCAGGCTGAAAGTCGGCCCAATGGAAGAATTGTCACACGACTGAAAAGTCAGCCTGAAAAGGGCAGAAAATCGGACAGTGTATGCCCGGCTTAAAGAGATGCAGACCCGTTGAGGTAGTTTAAAGTTTATTTTTCATACAAAACTAAAGAGATAAACTAAAGGGATAAACAGGTATTGACTATGGGTATGCTCATCTGACAGAACACCGCCATACCCCCATTCCCTCCCATATTCTAACAACCTTTCTGTGTGTTCCCTAGTCTCCCTAACATTCATGGGCATTATTGGGTGTTCATTCCTACCAACCCAGTGATGTGTCACAGTGCAGATGGGTGGACTGTTAGTCTCACAGCTTCATCCCTAATAGGACCACAGCATCTCATGTTGAGAGGAAGTGAAACACTTTAAATATTTATATTTCCTTCACTAATAAGTTAAAGCTAAAAGCAGTGATGAACTCTAATGAACCCTTCTGATTAGTTATTTAAAGAGATAGAGACTCCAGCTGACTAGTTGTTGTTCCGTTTTAGACTATTTTGAAGGAAAGGGAAGTAAAGGCATTTCTATTGAGTTTTAGATTTATCATTTAAGATGTTGTGTGTTTCAGAATGTTTTAAGGTCATAAAATTTGATGTCTTCAGCTTTACCACTAAAAAAAGATAGAAAATCTTGATCTGTTTGCACACAAACCAAATCAATTAGTCAACTAAATGACCGCCTTCCTTTACCCAAGAACCCGTCTCTTATTTTCTCTGCGGCTCCACATCTGCGTTTGGTTCAGCTACTGCTTTGAGTCGTGTGAACGTTTCCGCGTTGAAACAGATTGATGGGAATGTTTAATGTGGCGGTTTAGGAGGCCACTGGATCTGTAATATCACGTAACACTTGACCTTCTCACGCACTGTCTTCAGACTCCATGTGACTCCATTTCCAAAAAATAACAAACAGATTCTAATGTTGGAAGAAAAATCAAGGTGATTACACTTATTTTTTTTTTAGAGTCACATTTATATTACATAGGTTTCTATAATGGTCATGTTGAAGCTGGTCTTTATTCACCTGTAAAAAAAAAAAAAAGCAAAGACAGATTTTAGGAATTTAGTTTTATTCCTGTTAGTTTTTCTACATGAGGCCCCTGAATTCCATGATAGATAACACACAGTTGGAACATTAAGTGTTAGTTTTGCAAGTGTGGACTGGATAGCGTCTCCCACTGTTAGGTGAGGAAAGAACTGTTGAGTTCTACATAAGCACGTCTGGAATCCTTTCTCAACACTCCTGTAGAGGTTCAGCTTTTCCCTGCTGCTAAATCATTGCTAAAAACAGAAGAATGCTATAAAGCCAACCTGACTATTGTTGAAGAGTTGCTTTAT